ATGGAGCTGAAAATGGAGAGGTCAGCCTTCAAGATTTTCTGTTGCTGAGAAACAAATGGAAGAAACTGCCCAGAAGTCTTTGACAGGGCAGGATACTAGAGGGGACTGAATAAAGACAAAAACATCATTTAAAAATATATATGTATCTTTAATCTACTACCTCTGTTTCATTTTATTCCTTCCAGAACAAAGAATTGTAATTTATCTTGCTTGTGGAATGTAGCAAAAATTAGCAAAAACTAATTTTTTTTTTTTTCCCCCACCAAATTTCATAAATGTGAAATTGACTGTCTTCCTCTTCTGTTAATTATACATAAAACATAAGGGTAAAATGATACTGCTTTCTTTTATTCGCACACACAAACACACACACACACAAAAGGAGAGAGGAAAAGTGAGAGCAATATATGTATATCTACCTCCAAATATTGTTCTTGGAATTCTGTTCAAACTGCAACCATTTAAAATAATGTTCCTTTTGGTCTTGGTCTTATAGTTGCTAAAGCAGTTGAAAAGATAAAAGCTTTGTAAAAAATGTGATGCATGACAAAGTACAAGAATGGAAAATCTCATTGTCACATTAATTATCTATTGACAGAAGATATACAGTAGGTGATGCAATGGCTTTGGATGTTCTTGTCTTTATTACCTCTTGGGGGAAAAGTTCAGATCATGAAATGAGTTTGGTGCTCTTCAGTGGACATTTGTCCTAATCATAAAATAACCTCATAATTCAGCGCGTTGTAACAAAATTGGAGAGCTCAAATTGAGGAGGCTTAGAAACAGGAGCATCAGGGAGCAGTAAATCAGTCTAGAGGTGCAGGACAATGCCACTTAGGGTGACTTTCACAGCATCTATAAGACAATGCCATCCCCATTACAAATCATTTTGCCAGTCAGACATCATAATGAGGAGCACAGACTTGAAGATCAGACTAGAAATAATGCTAAAAAAGGTATCAGAAGTGGTCTAAGACACTACTCTGTCCAAATGCCATTTTTAGAGAATAGAGATTTTAATTCTGTATAAAAGTCATATTCTGTAATTTTGCTTTTCTATTTACTTATTTTTAGGGATTTTTCAGAGGTGTAAACAAAAAGCAATGTGTATGATACTCACCTATGTATATAAGATATCCGGAGGGGTGTGTTTAAAGATGTCTGCCACTGTAGGTATTATACTGTAAGAATTATGTTAGCATGTGTCTACTCTAGACATCTGTCTTTCCATTACTCATAAAAATTCAAGCAAATTCTCCTATGCTCCTACAGATAATTAAACTTAGTTTAATATGAAATTAACTGCTTGTTTTCTGTTTAACATCTAATGTCATCTGCTCAGTTTTACTTTCTGAGATGGCTGCAATAGGTATCTTTGCTATCTCTGCAGAGCCAAGGCCCACATGCAGCTATTTTCCTTATCACAAATGTCACTGTCTGGCCCACAGAGAACATTGCGTTCAATCAGGGAGAAATTGACATAGTTCTAGAATGTAAATCATCACTGTGAGACTAAACTCTGCTGAGGGCCATCGCTCACTTGTTTTCCTGTCATTTGTCATGATACAGGGAGGAATCAAATGTCAAAGAAGGAATCAGAATGGAAAAGTGTAGAAATACAAGTTACGTAGTGGACAGAGGAAGATAATTGCTTTTTGTTCTAGTTTCATGTTCTTATAATTAAGACTTAAAATTTTGTCTTCTCAGTGTAAAAAGTTATCTTAAGTAATTTGTAAAGACATTTTGCTTTTAATATAATGAGTTGATGATGTGAGGAAATACGGGAGGTAACTCTATTTAAGTCCTAAGACCTATACATAGAATATATGAAATAAACAAACTTAAAGCACTGAAGCAGTCCATCTTGACTTACAGCCTTCTTCAGAAGTAATTATTCCACAATGAGATACAACCTGTGTTATGCCAAAAGTGAAAAAAAAATATGCTAATTAACTATCATATATTACATATTTCCAAGAGATGTTATGGATACATTTTCAAACTTTTATTTATTTATTTTTTAAATTTATTATCTGTCTTTAATTATAAACGAAGCAAGCTGAATTATTGTCCAGCTACAGCACAGTCTGAGTGGAATAAATTGTAACTGCTACCTTCATGGGGCTGTAGGTAACATAGTAAAATAAAATATTTTCCTCCTTCAGATTTTCCAGACATGTTTAGATGAGAGACTAGTCAGAGCTATGAAAGTATTTAGATGCAGAACCACTGTTTTTTAACTCTGTCATCTAGACCTGCTACCTAAATTCCATCTTCTGTGATGGAATGATAATAATTAATTAAGTAAGGCAGCTGTATCCACCATGTTGTGTAGTTATGACTTATGTTAGCTTCATTGAGTATAACCTCCACCAGCTTTGCTCAATTAACTGAGGTTAAGTATTCCTATTTAAAAAATAAAAGATAGGCATTTCAGAGACAACATTCAACACTAAGCATTTACAGCACCATTCTTTACCATAGGTCAAGTGTGGACACATTGTTAACGATGGCATTTATCATAACTTTTTCTAGCTACCAGAGAGCTAGGCTTGGATGCAAGCTGGGCTTTGTGGAACAACATATAGGTGCTGTAAAGAGGCAGCCATTTTAGTCAGTGATTCATATCGTGCTAACCATCCAAGCTAGACAGGAAAAATCAGCAGAGGAAGCTCTCTGTCACTTAATGACTAAATGCCATACTCAAGTTGACTAAAAAGGAGTGAGATTAATTCAGAACTCTCCGCCCAGTACACATTCTGATGACTGAAATTGCTCATGGAAGATGTAGCAGAAGATTCTCAGAGGGTCTCATTCTTTTTGGAGCGACTAACTTAGTACAAAATATCTTTGATAATCTGCCATGTATGGGTTAGCTATGGCGATACTGAGAACCTGGACATTTCATGGGCTTGGTACATCCAAAAGTATGGCAGTGAAAGTTATATTACTGCTTGTAATTTGAAAATGTCAAGGGTACTCAAACTATACTGTTAAAATCTCAGAATGATACTTGGCATGGTTTCAGAAAACAACAACTAGTACATTCCTAACCAGTTGCAGTGCATAGGGCAGAACCTATCATAGTCCAAGCAGCATTTCCAACAGCAGTTTGCATGTGGTAACCTTGATGTGAAGGCTGACAGTATACTAGTATGGAAAGATATTTTTGTCATGTCACATGAGCTTAATGATAGAAAGAAAGTGTGTTTAATTTATAAATTCTTTTAAAGCTTAGTCTTAAACTGTATCCATGCCTTCTTTATTCAAATCCTTTGTATTCTGAACTGACCAGAGCCAGTCTGTGCCTAAAAGTACAAAGCATAGCCAGCATTGATATAGTACATCTCTCATTAGTGCAGTTGAAACAATAACCAATGCTAAACGTTTTTCAGATGATTCAAAGCTTAGGCATCTGCCTGAGAAATGCTAGTGAGCACCCCTCAAGGTTTCTCAGGACAGTAATTTATATGGTCTCTTACATGTTGAATAACTGCTTCATTTCTCCCTTTGCAGTGTTCAGTATTGGAAGAGTTGCAGGTGTTTTCTCCTGTCACTTATAGTCTCATAGACCACCTCCTGTTCACTGCAGCCTCCTGTTGTCTCTTTACCAATACTTAGCTCAGAAACACCTCTGCTCTAGGAAGCTTCTCTAAGATCTTTGTAGTGGTACACATAAAATAATAACAGTAATTACAGTAATGTAAATGCAGGTTTGTGCTTTTGAAGTTAGGAAAAGGAAAATTCACCTTGAATGAGTGTGTTTGTATTCCTCTAAAAAGATTTGTCAGAGGTAGAAATATAGCCACATATAATCTGACTGTACACATTGAAGTGATGCTTTTGAGTGAAAATTTCTGACGAGATAAAATAAATCACTGGATTTTCTTGACTGGAATGGAAAGTAGAGAACAAAATACCAGATTTTAATGAACTCAAATTTTTAATAAAATCACAACTTTTTCATACTTAACACAGCAAAACAAATAAGCTACCCCCAGTTCCAATATATATATATATTATTCTTCCAAAATATTATTAATTTGTTCAAACGATGACAAAGAGTCTAAGAAGAAAAATGAAAAAAAATACAAATTACTAAGGCATACTCATATTTTTCTAATGATATCAATTATCAGAGAACAGGCACAAATGACACTGAATACTAACAAACCTTAATGGAATTCAGGAACTTTATTCTTCAACAAAATGTATGCATGATTTCATTGTAAAATTTATAAATAAATTCAATATGTAAAGAAGTCAAGGAAAAAAAAATATCAATGAGATTATATTCTATTTCATAAATCATTCAGATTTAAAAATGTATATTTAAAAAGCTCTCCCATCTGATCAATCAAATGACTCACTTGGATAGTCAAGGAATAGCAAGTTGAGGACTGAATCCTATATTGCAGATGTTACAGTGGAACAGATCTGCGCTGCTCTAGGGGAGGCTCTGGGAAGTATCTGACTGGTTTGTTTGTTCAGTTATTTATTTATTTATTTATTTATTTGCACTCCTTTGTACTCTGTAGGAGTGTGATCAATTTACTACATGTCTGCAGGAACTGTACCTGTAGTTGCCAGCTGTGATTAGTAATAAGTAGAGGAGGTGGAGCTGTAGTCCTGCAGCCTTCAGGTTGTCTGATGTGGGAGTTATGCTGTGCATGCCAACACTTCCTGCTAAATGGAAAGAACAGTCTTGATGGGGCTCTAACAGGGTAAAATTGAGAGCCACCAGAATTCTAGACCCAGCTCATATGCACACATGGGCTGAGCACTATCTAATCCTAAAACCATAAGTGAATGAAAAGCTGAAGGTCAAATCCTAAACTCGTTAACATTCAAAATGTCCACTGAAATAGGTGCTATTAATTCCTAGGGTGATTAAATGATTCATGCACACAAAGAGAAGAGGTGATAGACACAGATATCCCTTGTTCTAGAACTGGTGGTAGCTGGATCTGCAGAAGCTGCTGGTTTAAGTTCTAGCCAGGGACCACAGAGATAAAGAATATTATTTTCTCCACTCACATTTGGAGAGAAGGATTGAGAGGCTATGCTAACTGACTTGATTTATAATACAGAGGAGCCACAGGGTGACACAAGTTGCGCTTCAAGAAGCTACTACTTCTGCATGAGTACTGAAGGGATGGAACTCCAGGATCTGCTCTGGAAGATGGTGTGTTAATGTTGCCTTTTTTGAGTTGTAGGTTGCTGTGGACAGCTCCTGTGGAGGCTCATGAGGAATTTCCATCAAGTTGTACTTTCCTGTTTTTTCCTCAGTGAACCTTTCAGCTTGCGCCACAGACTATCCCTCCTCTTCATCTTCTTCTCTGCCATGGTCAGTGAGGACTCTTTCCTTCGAATTTCCCTTACTAGTCCATGAAACACATCATCAATATAGAAGCGAAGAGCTGCTGAAGTCTCAAAAAAGGAGCAAGAATATTCTCTGGCTAAGCTCATTCCTTCTTCAGTTGAAACCTATGTGGGGGAAAAAAAAAAAAAAAAAAAAAAAAAAAAGTAAAACAGGTCCTTAAATATCATCTAATTTAGAGACTGTAAATGAACATGCACTCATAACTCTGTGTCTTGTCCAAACTTTTGGGTACAACTCGAATGTGGCACATCACTAACATGCATTTTAATGGGAATATATTCTAACTGTATCACATAGGTGAGATGAATGTGTGAAATGACCAGACTGAATCTATGGAAAGCCTGAACAGAGCATACTGACAATATTCATATTATTTCATATGCACCCTTTTTTCCCATATATTTCCTTACATTGTGGAGAATCCTGTGAGATTTGGTAAGCCTGGTTCTTTTGTTCTGTAGTCTAGACTTGATGTCCAAAAAGACTTTAGTGGAACTGTGATCCAAGAAAATCCCTTATCAGCACTCATCCAATCCTGGAGGAAATTTGACTTGACGCTGAAAACACATCTTCTTTCATGCTTTTTTTTTGTTGTTGTTCTTGTTTTTTTTTGGTCAGTCACATACATTTCAGAGCATGATTTTAAAAATTTCAGTCCTGATAGATCTGTAATCTTATCTTGTAATTCAGCTCATGCCTGAGATGTACATAGATCTAAAATCCATTTTGGTTTTAGATTGTCTTTCCTAAATGGCTTCATATACTCACTCTACTCAGAGTAGATCAAGGAAATGTGTCTTTGTCTTTTTTTTTTTTTTTTTTGCGGAGCTGTAAGAGCAGAGTCACTGTGAATTTAGAAGGAACCAAGACAGCTCTTTTTAATTTGCCCGAATTTGCAGAGATTTAACTTCTGAAATTTCATTATTGGCTAATTCTTGGATCATCTGCCTGCTAATTTCCTAATAAAAGTGTTCTTTGTGATAATTACTCTGTGGTTTAGGTAGTGTTTAGATTTTTATCACAAAGAGTAATTATTGCCTACCACTAACAATATTTTTTCTCTTTTAGGGACTTATATAGTAAAATGCAACAAGTCTGCAGCAGAACAAAGAACAAAGAATAAAATCTATTAGCTAGCTGAATTTTGCACTAGCTTAAAAACCGGTATAATGGTCTTTATTTTCAGAGTTTGAACATTAAACTATATGGATGAAAAGTACAGAGTGTATTAAATTTCTAGATGAGAAAATCCAGACATTGTTTTTATTTGTGTTCAGATATCATGATTCTTTGTAGTAACTTTCCAACTCTCTGGATAAAAATGACAAGTTAGACAGTTTTGTGAAAGACTACATCCCTGGTTATGAAAAGTATAAATTGCTACTCTCTACCAGGACTGAACCAGTTTTATTTCTTTTTTTCTAATTTCACATACCCAAAATGCTATTTTTACTTATTATGGAAATGAACTGCTATGTTTCAAGATATAAACAAATTCCCTTATACCTGCCATGAGGAGAATGCTCTTTTATGATTGGCTTATGACACTACCTTATTGTATTTTTTGCATGTAGCTGTTAAGCAGATGGTTAGAAATAAGATTCTGGATGAAAAGCAACATCGGTTCATTTCAGTCTGAAAGTAAATCTGCACCTAGCACATATTTATATAAAATGGTCACAAAATTTCTGCTTATTACCTTTCCGCTGAGTCACAAAATCTGTAGTATCAGTAGGATCATACCTCTGTATTACAGATTTAATCTTAATTTAATTAAGAATATTTTAAGGGTAAGCAGGGATGTTGTATGCCAACCTGAGTAATACTCGCTGACACAATGAAAGATTGTTATTGCTTTCCAACTGCTATAATTGCCAACCTTTAGCAAAAGGAGATGGGTAGCAATATGGCCCTTGTTTTTCTCTGGGCAGCTGTGTAAGCAAAATATGTGATTCAATATGTCTATTGGGCCCCATTGAGAAATTGATTGTCTGGATAGAAGAATATTCTGGTCTATTTTGGACTTTTTAATCCTTTTTTCTCTTGCTATTCCTTGAGCTGAAGGAAGATTTTTATTCCTATTTCTCTTTTTAAGATTCTGTAATTCTGAGCAAACCATTATGAACAGTTGTAGTTTCAGTGAATGCTTTATGTATTCATTATCTAAAATGAAAATAAAAAAATAAAACAAGTCAGAAATATGTTAAAAGAGTAAGTAAGGTTGTAAATATAATTCGAGTGCAAGTGAGACGCTACACATATTAAAAAAAAAAAAAAAGAAAAGCCTTTACCCTTTCTCTACAACTTTCTAGTCTTTGTTTATTTTATTCCTCTTTTTTTTTTTTTCTTTCCCCCCCATGTCTGTCTGTTCTAGGACCAAAACATACATTTTCTTCAGCCAGTAAGGAAGAAAAATTGCAGGGAAGTCATGCTACAATCTGTAATGAAAGAGTGTCTACTAAGAGCTATGAAAACTGGAGGATACTCAGGAGAAAAAAAATGCATAGAAAATCTTCTTCTGAGCCATGTGGTTGGAGGTTCATAACTTGACCAAATTTGTCAGAATTTCTATTAACAAGCAGACATTTTGTTTTGAACTCCAAAGTATTTTGACAAACTATAGAGACAACATTAATGATATTAATGAAAATAATTAATTTCAAAGCATGGCATTTTTCTTAATCTTGCCCTCAGGAGCTGATTAAGTGCTTTGATGAATTGTTCTGAAGTAATTCAGCACAGGAAGGACACCTGGCACAAAAATAAAATAAAATACAATAAAAATAAATAAAATAAAATAAAATAAAATAAAATAAAATAAAATAAAATAAAATAAAATAAAATAAAATAAAATAAAATAAAATAAAATAGAATAAAAATTAAAAAATCAGGACATTTAATCTAAGTTTTTTAGCTCCGAGGCCGAAAATAAGCATCTCAGAAATCTAATGCTGTCATAATAACTACTACTGCTTACAGCACCCATAAAAATATCGCTATGTAGCTATAGTAATTTTACTAATCTGTTTGCTGAGGAAACTATACAGAAGGATGTCGAGAGGAAAAGAACACATTCTTTCAGTTCCTAACTCTGTCTAGAGGGTAGGTCTCTCTGGAATGAGAAACAAGGAATAAAGCCCTTGATGAGGTCACTGGCATCCACATAATTCCAGGGATTTTCCTTTTTCCCTTATTGCCACGAGAGAAACTATATAGCTGAAATCCAGCCAGATCTGCACAACTCAGGGACTTGTTGACAAATTGCAGCTTCTGTGGCTCTGTATCAAGAGATGATATGATCTGTCAGTGTGACACAGATAGGTCAGAGAGCGAGTTTTTACTACTGAACATATATCTGGAGTTTTATATCTCATTTTCAGAGCAACATTCTGTGATTGAATCTGGTGTTGTTTCCCAGAGAATAATTCTGGTTATATTGATTCCACTTTCACTCATTCCTTTACTAGTAAACCTAAGAGAGGAATGAAGAAGAAAGGATGTTGCAGTGAAGATAATTAAAGATTAAGATTTAAGTGTTAGAACAAGCTTACCAAATCCAAAATTCTTGTGAAAGGTGTGAGTGTGGGGAAGTTGGATCATGACTCAAAAAAGATGAGCATGAAGCTCACCATGTAACTGAAGTGAAAAGTATTCCAGAATGACAAATTCATGAAATAGGTAGTGGAGCCTCATGGATGCTTAGGACCCCTGGGAAAACAGTCGTTTCATGGATTCTCTGTTCTAAGCATCCAGTTAGATTCATGTAATTTAAGAGAGAAGATGCACCAGTCATAGCAGAATTTGATCTGTGCACACAAGACTGTAAGCAGAATTCGGGAGTTTTTTATCTCTGGATATCTCAGGGCCACTTGAAAGGGGCACAGCTTCATCCAGATAAAAAGAATTTACTGGCTACAAGCAGCGTTTTATAGCATTAAAATTCTGTTTGTGACTTTTGCAAGCCTCCATGGAAAATTACAGGTGAGATTAAATGCAACACAGACAGATTGTGAAAGCCATGATGGATGAGCTGCCATCTTCAAGACAGCCAGTTCCCCACTAAGGTTCGCTTCTGTACAACACAAGTCTGCTAGAGATGGACAGTGGGTGGGGAGGCACTAGCAATCACTAGACACCATGTACAAAATATAATATCTGGATCTTAGAAAGTGCAAATAAATCATATGATCCACCTCTGCCCTTCAGTTGTCATTATCTGGAAAATCTACCCCAGAATCAGACAGTTTTCTGTGTAGCTTTGTCTCTGGTCTTCCACTGGTCAAAGCAGGGAAAGGAGCATCTTAAAGTGGACTCTTTGACAAATATTTTATTATTAGCAGAATTAATAATATCATTTTTGGTGGTCTTCATGCAGGTAAACAATGCATTTCCACTTGAGCAGCTATTCTCTATAATAGCATCACAGAATCACAGAATCACAGGATTGTAGGGGTTGGAAGGGACCTCCAGAGATCATCAAGTCCAACCCCCTGCCAAAGCAGGTTCCCTACAGCAGGTCGCACAGGTAGGCGCCCAGGCAGGTCTGGAACATCTCCAGAGAAGGAGACTCCATGGCCTCCCAGGGCAGCCTGTTCCAGTGCTCCGTCACCCTCACTGTAAAGAAGTTCTTGCGCACATTTGTGCGGAACTTCCTGTGCTGCAGCTTATGTGCATTTCCCCTTGTCCTGTCTCCACGTACCACTGAAAAGAGACTGGCCTCACCACTATGGCCCCCACACCTTAGATACTTATAGACCTGGATCAGGTCCCTCTCAGTCTTCTTTTCTCAAGGCTGAACAGACCCAGTTCACTCAGCCTTTCTCCATAGCAGAGATGCTCCAGGCCCTTCACCATCTTTGTGGCCCTCTGCTGGACTCTTTCCAAGAGATCTCTGTTTTTTTTGTACTGGGGAGCCCAGAACTGGACACAGTACTCCAGATGAGGCCTCACCAGGGCAGAGTAGAGGGGGAGGATCACCTCCCTCGACCTGCTGGCCACGCTCTTTTTAATGCATCCCAGGATGCCATTGGCCCTCTTGGCCACAAGGGCACACTGCTGGCTCACGGCCAACCTGTCGTCCACCAGGACACCAAGGTCCCTCTCT